CGCCTGAGCCTTTGCTCCAGGGAGGAGGCAACGCCCACTGCCCCCACACTCCTGTCCCTGGCTGCCTCACCACCACCTACAGGAGGGGCAGACATGGCACCCCGGGCCTGCCTGGTTAGCTGAGTGGCTTTCATCCCCAGGGATTAAAGAGGTCAGAGGTTTATGCCATGTCCCCACCCCTCCCAGCCAGGCCCTGTGTTCCCTGGGGTCTGGAGCCCTCTGAAGTGGCTGTAGCTCAAGCCCAGGCCTCTGCTCAGATGGAGGTGGCTTCTGCAGAGTAAGAGGGGGACCAGGGTGTCACCGGCTGCACCCTGAGCTCTACCCTCTTGACGGCACTGACTGTCAATATTTAATTCTTAGTGTGAGCGCGGCCACCCCGGTTGGGGAGGGGTGCAGGGTGGACTCAGTCCCCCCATCTCTTGGGAGGTCCACCCCCTCCCAAAGCTGGAGCTCGGGACCACGGAGGGGCGGGAAGCCAGGGGGCAGTGAGCGCCGGGCCTGCGCCTCCAGCTTGCGCTGACAAAGCCCAGAGCTTCTGGTTGCCACCCTTGGGGCAGGGCCCGACCTGTGCCCCGAGCAGCTGGCAGCGCAGGCGGTGCCCAGGCCCTGTCCAGTGTGACCGGCCACTGAACATTTGGTTCGAATCAAAGTCCTCTTCCAGCCAAGAGAGGAATGCTGCCGAGTGGGATTTGGGAACGGGCCGGCTGGGCGAACACTGCCCTAATTGAGGCCCTTCTAGACTTTTAATTACAAGCAATGTTTTCCCAAGCTTCCTAAATTGACCATGGAGACCTGCTGGTGTTAGTGCCCATGCCAGGGACAGGAAAAAAAATTGTTGTTAGAGCTTTTGCAGCAGGTTTATTTTAGCTAATGTTTTGAGGTGGAAGCGGTCACACAAAGTGGAGGCTGGAGTCGTTTTTCTCAGAGGGCCACGTGCAGGCACAGAGAGACTGGCGACCACAGGTGATCAGACACATGGAGGGAACACGTACGCAGACAGACACCTGTGGAGAGAGGCACGTGTACAGGCAGACGCTGCTGTGTGTGGCTGCTGATGCTGTAAACACTGGCTAGAAACACAGCCTGAGCACCTGGAGCATTTCAGAAAGGAAAACACTGCTGGTGGCTCCCCCAGCTCCACCCTCACCTCCTCCTGCCCCTCCAGGCTGCCGGGCCTGGGCCCAGGTCGCCCTTTGCAAGCCTGTTGACACGGCCCAGGATAGTCTCTGAAGACCCAGCCGGGTGTCTCTGCTCTCGTGCCAGTCCCCCAGGGGCACGACTGGCTGGGAAGGAAGGTCCTTGTCTGTGGGAAAGAGGACCTGGCATTCAGCCCCTCAGCTGAATCCTTGGGGCACCTTCTAGGAGAAGCCCTGGTTCTGGGGAACAGCCAGTCCAGGTTAGAGATGTAGAAAAGGGAGGCATTTCTGCAAAACAGGCACCCCAGGAGGAAGCTTCCCTGGGCCCCGAGCCCTGCTTGGATTCCAGGACTGCCCCAGGGCAGCAAATCTGGACCCTCATGGCTGGGGCCTGGGAGTCTGCATTTATTCCACTGCTCACCTTGTATTTTCACCACTGGACACACTCAGTACTTGCTTATTGCAACAGTGACTGTTTACTGCTGGCTCTGAGGGCCCCCGACAGCAGGACAGACAGAGCAGGCTCCGATATGGGTGATTCTGGAAGCTCCAGAGGGCCTCCCCACCTTTCCTCTTTCCCCACCATCTAAACTCCAAGGCAGCCTTTGGTATCCCTTCCCGGTGTCCAAATATGAGCCCTGGGATGGTGCACAGTAGAGGTGGGCATGGGCAGGGCCCCCTGAGACGGAGGGTAGGAGGCCAGAGACAATGATGCCTGCTCTGCCATTTTGCCAAGGGTCCCCTTGAGCCCGGGCAGGGCCCAGACTTAGGGCAGGGAGGCCGTTCCCCAGGCCCAGCCCTGCCTGCCAGTTCTTGGGCAGGGTGAGCCTTGGTGGCCGTTACAGGCCGTTGCTATCGTCCCTTATCTGGGGCTCCTGGCTCTTACACCACCTCCCCAACTGCCCCTGGAGTTGGGGGGGTGCCACTCCCTCTTCAAACAGACCGTTACTTGGTTTCCGTTGTTTGGGGAGGGGGTAGGGGCCTGTCTGCTTAATTAATCATTTTAGGTCACCCTGGGAAACTCATTAAGCCACCTCTCAGGGCTGGGAGCAGGAACACAGCTCTCAAAGTTAGAACTTTTTAGTTTGCTACATTGGGGTCCATTTCTCTTTCAATTCATGTGCACACATGTGCATGAGAGTGTGCGTGTGTGCACGTGTGTGCGTGCGTGTGCGTGTGTGTGTGCATGTGTGTGTGTGTGTGTGAGAGAGAGAGAGAGCATGCATGCCCTTGCATCTTCCATTCTGTGTTTGTGTTTCCTAGATTCTGCAAGGAACTTCCCCTGATTCTTCTTAATTACCAGCCTAGAAGAAATTCAAGATGCTTAGAGCAAAGGTCAAACTCCACCTGTTTTCGCTGCACTTCATTTTCTGGCAGTTCCCACAATAGTACAGATAAGTAAAAGATTAAGGCAATCTTTTCTAATTAAAGTAATTAAAAAACGGTGATGATTGCACCTTTCATCTGAAAGGGAAAATATTTACTCATCCAACTGCAGGCCCTTAAAAGCATTCAGGAGGTCTATTTTGACAAGCGGCTCTTCCTCCCCTCCCCCAGCCCATTCTCCGCTCCTCCGGGACACACACACACAAAGGCTGGTTTATTTAGCAAGAGGCAGCTTGACTGGGGCACCCTGAAAGCCAGGCAGGAGGATGGGAGCCTGGGGCAGTTTGGAGCAAATGGACACTTTAGTCCAATCCCTGCCAGGCCCTGCTGAGAGGTTTCTGGGGCTCTTGGGGTTCTGATTTGGCCAATCAATGTTTTATTTACTGTTGTTCCTTCTCCCTCCCCCAGGGCAACCACCCAAAAGCTCCTGTCTCCCCTGACAGTCCTTTTGTCTTCAGGCCTCTGCCCCCCACCCCAACTGGCTGGGGTGGAGACCTCAACAAGGAAGAACCGGTCAGAGTCTCAGATGTAGTCCGTCCAGCCGCCCACCTTCCCACCCTTTTACCCAACAAGCATGCATTGCACTGCTGTTTTGCACAAGCCTGTGTGCTTGACATACAAGCACTTGATCAGCACTGAGGGGGGTGCTGTGGCGGTGAGTGGCCCAGTCCATATTCACGAGAAGTAAAAGTCTAACTGCCCTGGGTTCTCTGGAAGAAAGCAAGCTGAAAGCAGGCTGCCGTGTTTCACTTTGAGTTTGTGAGGCAAGTCCAATCATCCGGTTTCCTGGTGCATAGGTTTGATCTCACAGATTGCAACTTTTCCCTCAGTAGAGAGCTCCTCTGGTAGCAGGCGACAATGGGGACAGAGGTGCTCTACTCCAGGGCCAGGACTTAAAGGGAGTGGGAGGTGTGAAGACAAGCAGAGATGTTAATGCCTCCCGTGCTCTGGGGTGGGGGTGCAATGTGTGCTCCATAGCACCCTCCTCCTGCACCCCCATTGCCAGGAGGTGCTTTGGAGCTGGAGCAGCTGGAACTTGAAGCAGCCGGGATAGGCTGTACCCCAAATCCTCAGAATCTGACATGAAGAAACATTCAGGGAACCAGCTCCAAGAACACTGGGGCCCAGCTGTCCCCTGAGAAGGGTCTGATTGCTTCTGCCTGCCCGGGCCCGTCTGGACAGTGTCCTCGGCATGACCCGCAGCCTTCAGCTGTCCTCCCTGCCTCAGAGAGCCGGCGTGGGCAGATCCGTTTCTGCAGTTGAGCTTGTGTCCGGGGTGGCTGGGCAGGGGAGAGCAATGGTGTGTGTCCGCATGAGTGCAGACGGATGTCAGCACATGTGCGTGCTGTGTGTCTGGCCTGCTTGAGGATGGGCTTGCGGGGTACCCAGAACAGCCCCATCAGAGATTAGGGCCAAACCTGCAGGGCTGTCCCTGTGCCATAGCTCACCTGGTGTCAACGGCACCATCTCTGCACTCTGGACTCTGGCCTAGCCACCCCGAGATCTCCCTCTTTCCTGGCCTGGCCCCTCTAGTCACAGCCTCTGGAGTGATAGCTGTCACTTCTGGTGACCCACAAAGGCTCCTCATTCCTGGAGAAACAGACTCCCCAGCCCAGCTCAAGCACAGGGTGCCTGTGGCCCACCTCACCCTCAGGGGCTTCATTCAGGCCTGACCTCCACCACCCTCTTCCTGCTGGTCCCGGAGGCCCTGTGACAAGCTGTGGACGCTGTGGACCCTCTCCTGGGAATCCTGTTGGTGTGTGCACAAGCGCCCACCACAACGGGCAAACAGACCCAGGGGGCCGGCATGCCCTGAAGCTGACACCCTGAGCCCAGGTTGGGAGCTTTTGTCCCACAGTCCCAGTGTGTCCGGTTTGTCTCTGGGCACCGATGGGCTACCCCTCACCCTGTCCTCCTCCCAACTTCAGTCTAACTCCCTCCAGGGCGGGGCGGGCAGGAGGAAACCTCCAGTGCCAGCCCCTCCACCCAGTGCTGGCTCTACCTGAACCAGGCAAGGCACCCTCAGCACAGCCAGCCCGGCTCCCTAGGCTGGACTCACGCAGGGCATCGTGTCTGACCCAACCTACGCATCTGGTGATTAACTTGCTCCCTGGAAACAGTCCCCAGGGAATTGGAATCCTTGTTGCAAAAATAAATTTCCCCCCTGGACTAGCTTTCCTAATCTTGCTTTCTCTGCATTCTGGGTTTTTTTTTTCCTTTCTTTCTAGTATCCCACCCTGCTTTTATCTTGTTCCTTTCCTCCCACTGAGACCCAAACAAACCTCCCAGTAAACAAACTCTCAGGCCACTCTCTTAAAGAAACAGCACACACTTATTGCCAGAGGGATGTCCGTCTGGCTCAGGGCTGATCTGCAGAGAGATGGGCTGGCAGGTGTTAAAGATCACTCTGGAAAGGTGCAGGAAGAAGTTGGCCTGGGTCAGTCTACCAAGAAAACTGCCCTAAGAGCCTCTCTCCGTTCCCATGTCTCACTAGAAGACACAGAGCAGGAGGGGACGGTTGGGTGGTCGGTCAGGGTTTCACTGCAGCAGGTCTCCCTGAGTGGTGCTGGTAAGGTTTGACTTAATGAGACTACTGTTTTCTTTTGTATATATGACCTGAAAAGGATTCCTTGCTTCTTAAATGTGATTTTTAAAAATGTTTTCAGGCCAACCTCCACCCTCCCCTGCTGCATCAAGTGAACGTATCTCTGATGTGATAATATCAAACAAAGGGAAAATAAGATCAGAGGGACAAATCTAGTCTGCACACAACTGTCCTGGAACCTGGCTACTTTGTGACTCAGAGAGGCTCTGGTGTTATTCTGTCACTGGGAGTGTGTTGCTGGCTCAGTGAACTGAAGTCACTGTGGAGTGGGGTAAGCGTGTGTGTGCTTGTGTGTGCGCACATGTGTGTGTGTCTCCACCTGTGCCCGACCACTGCCTTGAGGGTCTCTGCTGGGACAGGGGCTCTCCACAGCGTTGAGTATGGGGACAAGCCGAGGATACTCCTCACTTTCCGTCTAAGTTGTCTGAATCGAAAAGCCTGGCATAACATCTCCTGAACCACGGGGCTGTGCTCGCGTCTGTTCTCCCAGCCGCAGAGCAGCCACAGTGCCCAGCCCAGGGACAGACGGGGTCCAGCCCAGGGGAGATGGGGTCCAGGCCAGGGCTTCCTGAGAATCCTGTTAAAATGCAGCTTCCAATGCAGCAGGTCTGGGCAGCTGAGATTCTGCACTGGTAACCGGCTCCCTGGGATGGTTGAACAGCCGACCCCAGCCCAAGATCTGAGCAGGGAGGCTGCAGAGAGGCGGCACAGTGGTCCCGCTGCCGGCTGAGAGGGCAGAGCCACCTCTGCCAGGCCCAGATACCACCATCAAGAGACAGCAGCTGACAACTCCTAAACTGGAGACCTCCATGGAGCAAACAAAACCTCACCAAAGTGGTTTTTCCCCTTTTAGAGAATACATTCCTCAGCCGACAGTTGCCCCGGGCTCTCTCCCACTACCACTTGGAAGCCAGGCAGAAAAATTGCCTGGTGGGCAGGATTACTGCATTAGTCAACTTTCCCAAAACAGACCCACAGGCTCTGGAGTTTTAGTCTGAGCCTTTCCCAGTGACAGTATGTCAGCTGGGCCCGCCCATCCCTCTCCTGGCCTTGCCCCTTCCTGAGTGCTAGTAATTCACTCCGCCTTCCTCACAGGCGCAGATACTGGGAATCAACAGGTTTCAGCCAAAGTGAGCCCTCTGGCTCAAGTGCCCCAGGCCCAGGGAGGAGGGTGGTACAACTGGAATTGGGAGTCTGGCTTTGCCTGCCCCTCCTCTTCTGCACCAGAGAGCAGCCCAGCTGAATCGACCCTGTGCCCAGGCAGGGCCCATTTGGTCATGACGGTCCTAGGCCTGTCTGCTTCTGCCCCAGATTCCTGCTGTCCATCTCCACTGGGCCTCCGGGCCCAGCTCCCAAGGTCCCCTGTGCTCTCCCGGGGCAGGGCCTGACTCTAGGTCTCGGAGTCAGCCTGTGTGCTGCCTGCCCCAGTTCCAGAGCTGGGGTTTCCTAGAACACGAGCCCCTGAAGCCCAGTTGCTGACGCCAGGCCACTGTGCTGGGACAGTCAGATGTCTGAGGATGTCACTGTGGACAGATGCAAGGCTTGGACCTAAGCCAGGGAAGGATGTCTCATAACTCCCCGCATAGCCCAGCAGCCTTGCCTGTGTTGAGAAGTTCCTTGAAGAGGAACATATTCTCACAGCTGGTGTCCCTACAGGGGATGTTCTCCTTGGAGCTTTTTTTCTCTAAAGCTGGTGATACGAAAATAAATCTTGAGTCTTTCCATAGTGCCTCCAATCCTGAGAGCCAGGGTGGTCCTCCTTTCTACGCTTTGGCTCCTTAAAAATCTCCTGGTGGAGCTGACCTGGTGACCTGTGTGGAGGGAAGGTTCCGCCTCCCTGGGGTAGCGGCTAGGGGCTGCCTGGACTGGCGCCTTTGTGCTGTCACATCCCAGGCCATGCCCAGGAGTCAGGGCCCTGAGCTTCGGGCAGCTTCCAGAGCGCGGCAGGCCCAGGGCTGCTGCTTAGGAGAGCCAGAGCTCTGTTGATGCTAATGTCACAGCAGATAGGGGTCGGGGTCAAGGCTGGGCCATCAGACTATCTCAAGGAAGGGCTGGTCTTTCTTTCAAGGGTCCAATATCACCTGTGAAGTAGATAGTTCTTATGAGTAAAAGAAATAAGGCTCATTAAATATTAGAGCTGAACAGAAATTCATAGATCTCCTAACTTTGGCTTGCGTTAAGATCACCTGGAGGGCTTATTAAAACACGCGTTTCTGGGGCTTGCGTGAGAGGTGCTGACTCTATGTGGGGGCGATGCTGAGGATTTGTATTTCTCTCACAAGTTCTCCAAACGATGCTGATGCTGACGAGGACACACTTCAAGAACCACAGGCTAGCACATACCTCCCATTTTACAGATGCAGGAACCAAGGCTGGGGTTTGGGTGGGGGGAGAAGCAGCTTGAGCGTGGTCACCAGGGGTCAGTGGTGCAGCTGGGCTAATGATCTCCCGTGCTCACCTGGTTTGCTGCCCAGTGCTGCCGCTCGGCCTGACGCCCAGGGTCGCACAGCTGGTGGCCAGCCTTCCCTGCAGGCTGCACGGCCCACTGGGCCCTGCTTAGTGCTGGCTGTGACTCACAAGATGAGTTAGCGCCCGCAGCACCCAGTTGGTGCTGGGAATGGAAGTGGCGTGTTTTGGCGTGTCCTGGCCTCCAGGCTGAAAACTGTTTATTTGGACAATTAAGAACATGGCTTCAGTTGAACCACAAAATCAGACGGAAACCTTTATCTTGGGTGGCACGCTCTGGGTTTCCTCCCATGCCCTGGCAGGCTTGCGGAGTGGGGCCATGTTGGACGGGGTGGGTCTGGGAAGGGTGCCAGTGGCTCTGGCCTCCACTTGGAGGCATCAGTCAAGTGTGTCAGGAGTAAATCCTCCTGGTTGGCCTTGTGCTGCTGATGAGGATGGGAGCGGGGTGTTGGGAGGGCATCCAAGCCCTCCCAATCAGGGACCCTAAGGCCTTTGGGGGCCCGTGAGTTGAGGCTTCCTCTGCAATTGACTGTAAGATTCAATCTCTGCTCATCCCAGGCTATGGTCAAGAGTCAGAGCCCTGACCTATGGCAGATTCCATCCTCACTATCAACACAGAGGCCACATCTCAGGAGATCTCCCCCCTCCTTCAGCAAGGAGACGAGTGAGCTCACACCCCACCCTCACTCAGTGCCCACAGGGAAGGGAGGCTTGGTTTTGGCACCACCTGACCTCTCCTTTCATGTTCGTATTTCCTCCACTTCCATCCCACTCAGCCCCATTCCTTCAGGCCCCATCCCCCTGCGCGCCCATCCCATCAGACCCCATCCCCCTCAGCCCCATCCCTTCAGGCCCCATCCCCTCGGCCCATCCCCCTCAGCCCCCATCCCTCAGCCCATCCTCAAGCTCCCTCAGCGCCATCCCCCTCATTCCCCATCCCCCTCAGCTTCCCTTCAGGCCCGCATCCCCCTCAGCCCCCCCATTCCCTCGCCCCCATCCCCCTCGCCCATCCCCTTCAGCCATCCTCAGGCCATTCCTCAGGCCCATCCCTCTCAGCCCTATTCCCTTCAGCCCCATCCCCCTCAGCCCCATCCCCTTTAGCCCCATCCCCCTCAGCCCAGCCCCCACAGCCCATCTCCTTTAGCTCCATCTCCTCAGTCCCATCCCCTTTAGCCCCATCCCCTCTCAGCCCCACCCCCCTCAGCTCCATCTCCTTTGGCTCCATTCTCAGTCCCATCCCCTTTAGCCATCCCTCCTCAGCCCCAGCCCCCACAGCCCCCATCTCCTCAGTCCCATCCCTCTAGGGTAATGGGACCTCTACCAGGATGGCAGCACATGGGTGGCTTTGGCTCCATCTCCTCAGTCCCATCCCTCTAGGGTAATGGGACCTCTACCAGGATGGCAGCACATGGGTGGCTGAGTGAGAGATTTGCTTACACCTCCCTTGGAAGATTAAGCTTCTCTTATACCAGGAATAACCCCAGGGCCTAGGACTCCCGCTGAGGACTGTGGTTGGGGTTTCGGACCAGAGACAATAACTGTCTACCCAGCCTACTCCCCACATGCTCCCTATCAAAGCACACAAACTTGATGGAGGTGCAAACATCCATTCTGAGACTTTGCCTGACACTGGCTCAGTCACCCTGGCGCCCGTGTGGGTGCAAGGTGATCCCTCTGAGAGGAGGCCTGCTCGGTGAGGGAAATGAGCTGAGCTGAGAGTAACTACGGAAGAGGCTGGACTGGGAGGCAGATAAAGAGCCAGCCATGGGGTCAGAAGAGGCCAAGATTGCTCCAGCCTTGTGCTTTGGTGGCCAGAATGCTCAAGAAAAATCAAACCCCAAGCCTCAACCCTCGCTCAGCACCAACTCCCAGCAGTGCTGAGAGGAGTTAGCCCACCCTGCACAGCTGGTCACCCAGACATGGTCTCGTGACCAGGCGCTTCGGGACGGCCACCCTGTCTGCCTCCTGGTGCCGAGCTGTTTCGTCCACTCCTCTGCCGCCTACAGGAGCGGAGCAGGTCTGCCAGCTCTCAGACCTTCCAGGTCTGCCACCTGGGTCCCTGCAAACACCAATGGGACTTGCTTCCACAACCTTGGATTTTAAAATCCTACATTTTATTCTGTTTCCGGCAGACTCACATTTTGTCCTCCCAGTTGCACACTGTAAAAGTTTTGTGTGAGACTCAGCTCCTGCCAATCACAAGCTCCACCTACCACCCCCCTCTCCCCACCTGGATGTCGGTTGTGGCTGATGAGTGATTTGGGCAGTCACCAGCTTGGCTAATGACCCTCGTCACAGGGTGTGTGTGTGTGTGTGTGTGTGTGTGTGTGTGTGTGTGTGTGTCAGTGCGTGAGCACACAAGGGCAGGGGACGGGAACACTGGAACACATTTGGACTCTCTTTATCTGCCTCAGCTGCTACCTTGGGGGGGCACACCCTCAGCTCCCCCCACACCTGGCGATGGGGTGCAAGGGCTGAGCGCTTGGGGCCAGAGGGTGCTATCTCCCTCTGGGAAGCGCCTCCTCACACTGGGCTCAGTGCTCGCTTGGGTGGGTTCCAGCGCAGAGGGTGGAGGGCAGGAATCTCTGCAGACACAGTCAAATCCTCAAGCTGTTTCTCCATCCTGGCTCCAGGCCCAATTTTAAAAGAAAGCAGCAGCAACAAAGAAAATAACTGCAGTGATGTTAGCGCAAGAGACGGGAAGGGCGGCCCAGAGCCGAGCTCAGGGCGCGGGAGGTAGGCAGCCCAGCGAGGGGAAAATGGGGCAAGAGCATGAAGAATTCTGCATTGTTTCAAAATTGGCAA